GATTTTGTAGTCGTTTTTCGGTGCATATATACCTGCCCCAAAGCAACCATTGTTGCCATCCGTGAACCAGACATCTGGACCCAGGCAGTCTAGAAAAAGACGATTGTTCCAGCTTGCCCTATCCGGTATAAAAACTTTAAAGTTTTTACCCTGATGGTGCTTTCTGGATATTCTGTCTTGTTTCATCGAGAAAGGGCTATTCTGAAGAAAGCTTAGCCTCGTGTGACCTGGCCTAGCATATCTTCACTCTTTTTGACAGAATAGTCTACAAGCCGTTATTTTGGCTGTACAGATTATATTTTGGTCCAGTGGAGAAACACAAAAAGCTACTTCCAGCGCTTCTGTGGGAGTGGTTCTCATGACCCCTACTGCCGCCCTCAGGTAGCCACCCTGTAGGCTTTTCAGTGGGTTTCTTGCGCCCACTTTCTCCACTCTTGGCCACCAGACTATCGACGCATACATTAATCTCGGCAATAGAATGGTTGTGTAGATCCATAGAGCAACTCTGGGTTTTATGCTTCAGGCGCTGCTTATAGCTCTTCTACATGTTCAGAAAGAAATAGAGTTTGTTTCTCTTAATTTGAAGATGGTGGTTCAAACTCAATTTGGGGTCCATGTAGACACCCAAATATTTTATTGAGAAAGCAAATTGAATTTCTTTGTTCCAGAGCATTAAGGCGTTAATATGCTCTGATTTATATTTCCTGGTAAAAATCATAGCCTGGGTCTTATCCGGATTTACCGTCAGACCTTTCGCTTCACACCAGTTTTGAACGATCCTCAGTGTTTTGTCCAATAGCTCCTTGAGGAGCTCCTTGAGTATGTGGTACAAACAAAGAGACATGTCGCCACACGGATTAAGGAACACTGTAAAAATATTAAATTACATCATAGTTCGTATTCAGTTGTAATTAAGCACCGATCTGAATTTAATCATGATTTTGATTGGAAAAAATGTTACATACGGAAAAACATTTAAGAAAAAGAGAGATAGCAGAAATGTTTTTCATTAAAAAACAAAATAATAATATAAATTTACAAAGGGATACAGAATGTTTAAACTACATGTACAACAAAATTATAAAGGTCGTGTAAATCTGCTTATTAAAAATATATTATAACTTGACGATCCTTCGGCGTGACACGTTGACTTTTTCTTGTATTTCCAGTCGTTTGACTTTTATATAATTTGTAGTTTAATAATTATCGGCAGTATTACTAATATGAAGATTTAATTTAATGATATATATTGTAAGTAATTTTAGTTTATTGTTTCAATTTTTGTCATATATTGAATTGCGTATGTTAATAATTATATATTTTATTATTAGTGTTCACTTGAAAAGGACTACATGGTCGAAACGTAGTAAGTTTAATAAACGAAATAGACGCTAATTTTGGTCGATTATTTCTACTATCCTATTCTAATAACTAGTGACAAGGATTAATAATTTGGGAATTATTTTTAATTTTATAATACATTTTTTTTCTGTATGCAGAAGTCCTGGAGCAGCCGCTACTGCCCATCACCGCCGCCGCTGCAGCCCGCTCGCAGTCGCCCCACCATCGCCGCTGCTACGGCCCACCCGCAGCCGCCCCACCATCGTCGCCGCTGTCTCTGTCGCCTTACACCCATTGTAATTTACATAAAAAAATTTTTTTCTTTTTTTATTATACATATTTATATTTATTAATATTAAATACAATTTTCATATTTTATATTTTTATCTTTTTATACTTTATATTATATATATTTATATTTTTATATATTTTAAATTTTATAAATATTTTAAATTTTTTATAATTTTAAATACACACAAATTTTTATAAATCAGGAGACGCGGTAGCGTCTCGTTAAGTTATATCTTTCATTCGTCTTCAAATTAAAAACCATCTATAAAAAACAAAAAAAATATCAAAAGATATCGAAAAGATATCGAAAATATCGAAACAATAGCGAAAATTATCCGTAGGACGCTACTGTGGATCCTTTATCGGACGTAACACGATTTTCGTAACCTTGAAAACAATAATTTGAAATATTTCATAAACCGGAACATATTTTTCAAAAGATGATCATATCAATCGAAAGCGCGATTTTTTCCGAGTAAAATGAGACCTTAACGAACTTGATAACTCCATTGGTTGCGGAGATATGAATTTTTTAAGTTATTTTTGGTCGAAATGTGCCATTTTTTATTCAGATACGTCATCGTTTTGTCCGCGGTCACCCATCCCAAAAAAAAGTGACTTTTTCCACAGCTGCTTTACTTTATCCGCAGTCACCCATTCCAGTATAATGACATTTTTCCCAGCTGCTTAACCTTTTAAGCAACCAAACGAAAAATAAATTCTGGCTCTCTCTCGCTCTCTGTCTCTCTCTCTCTCTCTCTCTCTCTCTCTCTCGCTCTCTGTCTCTCTCTCTCTCTCTCTCTCTCTCGCTCACTCTCGCCTTTTCTCGCTCTCTCCCGCTCTCTCACGCTCCCCCTCGCCTTCTCGCGCTCTCTCACGCTTTCTCACCTTTTCTCTCCCTCCTCTTTCCCTCTCCCTCTCGCCTCTCTTTCTTTTTCTGCCCCTTGTGTTTGGAATAATAGCACAGTCACTTTTGAGTTTAATCCCGGAAAAAATGTTAAAAAACTGAATTTTGATACAGACCTTCAATTTGCATAAGATTAGAGGGAAAAAAGGTTTACCATTATACAGTGGCCGTTAAGAAAAAAAATTAAACAATCACGACTCAAATTATGTCTTTTGCAAATATTTAGTTGAATATCGATTTAAAAAAAAAGAAAAAATACGAAAGTACAAATTTAAAGAATGGATAATTTTGCATAAAAATGTTATCTATAAGCTTTTCATTCAAGTAATAATTTTTATGTAAATAATTTTGCAAGATGTGCGCTGTGCGGTAAATTCACGGAGCATGATGACAAACGTTATGTGGATTGAAGCATTACACACGCTGTTACGTAGATTAAAGTATTACACGCGCGCACAAATGTCATAACTTTTGAATGAATTATTGTATAGAAATGAGTAAAGAATCATTGAGAAAACAGAGATTTCAACTTTTTAATGCAATCTCTTGTTATTCTACGCCAATTCTTTAAAATTTTACGATAGTTTAAACAAAATGTTGCACGTAATTTTTGCCTTCTCTCATTAAATTAGCAACAAATAATCTTAAAATTTTTAGAAAAATTATCGTAAAATAACCAAACAAATTACATTAAAAAGTTGAAATCTTCAGCTTTTCAATAATTCTTTGCTCATTTCTGTTCGACAATTTGTTCAAAAGTTATGACATTATTTGTGCGCGCGTGTAATACTTTAATCTACGTAACAGCTGTTGGCACGCTCCACTGCGCTCTGTCAATTCACCGCACAACAAACTTGCAAATTTTTTACATAAAAAGTATTGCTCATACGAGAAAAATTATAGAACACTTTATGCAAAATTGTCCATTCTTTAATTTTCTACTTTTGCATCTTTTTCTAAAATGGATATATGTATAACGAGATATTTGCAAAATAACAGAATTTGGGTACTAATTGTTTAATTTTATTTTTTAGCAGCCACAATACAATGATAAACTTTTTTCTTTAATTTTATGCAAAAACAAAAGTCTGTACCAAACTTCAGTTTGCTAATATCTTTTCTGAGGTTTCACTCAATTTTTATCTAAAGTAACTGTAGCATAAAATATATTGAGTCACGATAAAAGCTACAGGCATGCACATACATATGTATGTACACAAGCATGTGCGCACGTAAACATAGACATATTTACATATACATATTTTATATCTTTAAATAAACTTTGCAAAAATATGTGAAATGTGTCCCACTAAAAAAGACATTACAAATGTAGGAAAAAGCGCTGTTATATCTTTCGCCAGCAAAAATAGTTCTTTACTATAATAAAAAATATTATCGTCTCAAAAATTGTTTATAATCAAAATAATTCTTTGCAAAGAATAATCACCATCAAAAATATTTTCTTAAAAATTATATTTATAAATTATATTTTATTTTTTTTAATAATACTAGAAAAAAGTAAAAATATTAACATAAAAAAGTAGTAAAATAAAAAAATTGCGTTAAATAAATATAAATTGCGTTCTTCGCAAAGCCAAACTTCCCAGTCAAAATATAAGCAGGGAAGAACGACTAGCACTCCGTAGTCTCAAACAAAATAGTAAGATTATTGTTCTACTGGCAGACAAGGGAAACACCACGGTAGTTATGGACAAAGATGAATACTGCGACAAAATCAAGGCCATGCTCTCAGACCACAATGTTTATAAAAAACTTAAACGCAACCCGACCTCCAGCATAGAGAAAAAACTTCTTCGCTTCTCAAAAATGCAGGTCTCCCTCCCCAAACAACTAAAAAGCTAACCCCTCGAGACTCTTCAGCCCCCAGACTTTATGGTCTTCCGAAAATCCATAAAGATTCAGTTCCATTACGCCCTATTGTTAGCAATATCGGAGGACCCACTTATCAATTAGCTCAGTTTCTTGTGAAACCTCTCCAAACCCTTACAGGACTTAATGATTCCCACATTAAAAACTCAACAAACTTTGTGAGCAGGATTACCAAACTCAAAATAAAAACTAATGACATTCTTGTTAGTTTTGATATAGTATCTTTGTTCACGAATGTTCCAGTACAAGACACTCTAGATATTATTAAAAAATCTAAAAATATTGACTCAAAATTTTTCCCATTAATAGAACATTGCTTAACCTCAACCTATTTCCAATTTCAAGGAGAGTTCTATGAACAAACCTCCGGAGCAGTAATGGGATCCCCCATCTCACCTATCGTTGCAAACATTTTTATGGAACATTTTGAAAATAAAGTCTTAAAAAACGCACCTCTCAAACCCTCTACATGGTTTCGATATGTTGATGACACCTTTGTCATCATGGCAGAGAAACGCTTCCTCAATTTCTCGACTTTCTAAATTCTCAGCACCGCAGTATTCAGTTCACAATGGAAATAGAACAGAATAATCAGCTTCCCTTTTTAGACGTGTTAGTTAAAAAGAACGAAGACGGCACCTTAGGCCATCGGGTTTATCGAAAACCAACACATACGGATCGTTACCTCCATGCCACCTCTCATCATCACCCGGCTCAGAAGAATTCTGTCATCAGTTCATTAATATACAGAGCCTTAACAATTTCTGAACCAACTTCCCTGAATGAAGAATTAGAACATCTCAACCAAGTCTTGATCAAGAATGGGTACAACACCAAAGACATCCATCGAACAACTGAAAGGCTGAAAAATAAAATCTCCAGTACTACAAATATGAATGCATCAAGTGAAAAAGAAGAAGAAGAAAAACAAGATAATAAAAAATGGACGATCCTTCCGTATCTTCAGGGTACAACAGAACGCATTAGCAGGATCCTGGGTAAACACAATATCAAAGTAATTTCCAAACCTCAAAATAAGATTGCACAACTACTTCCTAATCCCAAGGACCGGAGACCACACTTAGAAACACCAGGTGTATACAGGATTCCTTGCTCCTACGGAAAAGTGTACATAGGAGAAACTGGGAGAAAGATCAGTACACGAATTAAGGAACACCAACGGAGTGCCAGGTACTGCCATTTTAGTCAATCAGCCTTGGCAGAACATTGGATGGAGACGGGACACTCGGTACAATACGACAAAGCAACCAGACTAGCCCCCTCGCAAAGCTATTTTGCCAGAAAACATCGTGAAGCCCTAGAAATTCTGAAACATCCCGACAACCTCAACCGCGACAAAGGTTATCAAACAAACCCTATTTGGCACACTGCTATTAATATACACTCACACCACTAGGCGGCGTCATTACGGAATATTTTTCCGTAGATGAAAAACCTCCCATAATATATATAAGGACCACAACCCAAGAAAGCTCAATATCGGAGCTCTCAGCCCTGAAGATGCAAACTGCAACGTTTGCGAAACGTCGGCATTACGCTGTTAAACCACGCGGCATTCATCCGGAAACTTTTTGCATTGATAATTCCAATGGCCGCGAAAGTCTCAAAACTAGAGTTATGAAAAGTACTTAATATTACCATAAGATATACATATATCATAAGGAATATCGATCGAATCAAATAGATAATACATTAAAATCAATGAAAGAACATTGAATATACTAATTATAAAACATAATACAGAAAAATTAATCTTATTTTACAAGATATTTTGATCATTCTTTGAATTATTGTTGAACATTAGTGTGAAATATAATAATAATAAAGACGTCTAATGAGACTGTAAGAGAACGAAAATTATATCTTATAACGATTATAAATTATTACTTTAGAATGAATAAAATGATGTTACTAAGAACAGAACTAATCCATATTAAATATTTAACAACAGTTATAGAATATATGTAGATGAATCAATTAAATTACAATCATAAATTATAAATAAAACAATTGAGTATAAACAAATGATAAATTATAAATCAAATAATTGAACACAAACAAATATTAGAAAAAAAGAAATACATTAACTTTTAATTCATATAACGTGAGATAATATAGAAATGTGTTTGAAATTAATTATTTCAATCAAAACCATAAAATAATACGTTCAGTATGAATATTAAAAAATATATATTAATTAATTGTGTGTAACATTTATAATTATATGCATGATTTATATGAACGAGAACTATAATAAATTATTAAGGAGATAAAACTAAATGAGAACTTGAATTAAACAAGCCATAACTAAATGAGATCTTGAATTAATCAAGCCTTTTGTTAATTATCAGGAAATAAGAATATAATGTAATTATTACCTTGTGATGAATCATTCATTCATTCATTAAATATCATTCTCTTGATAATATAAGATAACCTGCAGTCCTTATTCATTGAGAGGAGGGAAACCTGCCTCTTATTAATTCGGGTTTGAATTCCTTGAATGATTCCTGTGCTCTCCTAATTAATTGAGATAACGGAAGTAACCGCTTTGCTCAGATTTAAGAGCTGTTTATGAGAACGGTGGTAACACCGCCTGTAATCTTGATCGAAGGAACGAGAATGTTCCGAGAACGGTCCGTGACCGCCTCTAGATATTTCGGTTAATATCTGTATTTAAAAGTCACCACTTGTAATAATTTATTACTCAAATGAAGACAATCTTTGAAACCGACTCAAATTAATAGAGATTGAATAAGAAAGTCTAATATGGTAACAGAATCAACCCAGTAAAGAGAACCGATCTAATCGCGCACATGCAACGAATCAACAAGAACAATCGAGGTTCTCGATGCGCTTTGTTAGCAACGCAGTAAACACCGCGCTGCTCCGAGATACCGCGAGTTTCAAACATCTGAAATTTTCTTAACAAAACGCTTTATGGGCCAAAATAGAAAAACACGGGTCAAATGTTTTTCAAAGTTGTAACGGCGTGGCCGTTACTAACGCCTCGCGGGCCGATTACCCGCCCGCCACTTGAGGCTATGGCGCCTAAGGCGCCCCTAAACGCAAAACACAAAGCGATACACGGGTCACCCTACCCCAGGCGCGCCCCACTACAACCCCCAGAGGCGCCCCACTACGACGCCGGCGCGTTACCCCCACCACAGCCTCGATGCAGAGTGGGGGAACCGCCGGCAGGGTATATAAGCCGGCTCGACGGATGAGCCGGCACCAGTCCTGTTCCGGACCTCCTAGCCAGGCAACGGGCTTCTCGTTGTTACGCCGGGTTTCTCGGTTTCTGGCCTCCTACCTTTAGTATCGGGCAACGGGTTTCTCGTTGTTACGCCGGGTTTCCCGGTTTCCGGTCTCTTCCTGCTATACACCGGGTGACGGGTTTCTCGCCATTACGCCGGGTTTCCCGGTTTCCGGTTCTTCCTGCTATACACCGGGTGACGGGTTTCTCGTCATTACACCGGGTTTCCCGGTTTCCGGACACCGTATCTCTAAAGTCATACCGGGTAATTTGTAAGTCTTTTCCGGACACCGCTACAGGCTATACGCCTCCGTACACCGTATCTCTAAAGTCATACCGGGTAATTTGTAAGACTTTTCGGACACCGCTACAGGCTATACGCCTCCGTACACCGTATCTCTAAAGTCATACCGGGTAATTTGTAAGTCTTTTCCGGACACCGCTACAGGCTATACGCCTCCGTATTTTGTTTATACCGGGTAGTCAATAAGTTTCTCTATTTAGGCTTTATGCCAACGAACATTTTGTTTGCTTGTTTCTTTTTGAATAAACCAAAGCATTGTTAATAGGAATAAGCGAGTCTGAATCTCCCCCTTCCTCCCGAATCCTGGAACCGGCGAGCCGATCCGCGGCGTCGGGAAAGGTGAACCGTTACAAAGTACTACATGTGTGCAAAGTTTCAAAAAAATCGGCGAGTGACACTCGGATAGTGTTACTTATGAATTTTCAACAAAAGTCGTACATAAGTAAAAACACTGAAAATAAATAATAACAAAGTCAGGAAATATTAAAAATCGTTGAGAATGCTGTCACAGATTAACAGACAGATAGCCAAAGACCTGTCTAAAGAGGAGACCATCATTTCCGTGCGACTTTGCCCCTTACTGACACACTTTGCCCCTGGTTCGAGTCCAGGCTAATAAAATCCTCTGATTTTACCAAAAAACTTTGCCCTGGTGCGAATTCAGACTAAAATCTTTTAATTTTACACGTATAATCAAAGGATTTTAGCCTGAACTCGCACCAGAGACAAAGTTTTTTGGTAAAATCAAAGGATTTTATTAGCCTGGACTTGAACCAGGGGCAAAATGTGTCGGTAAGAAGCAAAGTCGCACGGAAATGATGGTCTCCTCTTTAGACAGGCCTTTGGCTATCTGTCTGTTAATCTGTGATGCTATCATATATTATGTTAAGATTATCTGTATCCCGCTGTAAAGGGTGACTCTAAAAGAGGCCAAATTTTACCCCGTTTATTGGACCTCGAATTTCGAGTCAAATTGTGTTTTAATTTGAAGTTTATGATGACATATTACTCTTAGAAAATTTTAAGTTGAGTCCGCTTCTCAATCTTTAAGAATGAGAAGTCAAAGTAGGGTAAAAAATGATTGAAAACGAGTGTCAGCGGGTGTATCGGACTTAATTAAAGGTGTATCCATTTCTCTCACCCTTCCCACTTCTTTTTTATAAGAACTTTTCTCTCCCCCTCCCCATTTCCAGTCAAAGAAAAGAATTTTCCTGGCAATAATTGATTTTGACCTTAAAATAGCCTTGAAACCCCATACATCATACAATACTATATTGCGGATATATACATCACAGACATGAGAAATGCTGTTCTGAAATGTTATTTTGTGTGGATATGTGTTTATAGAGTACCTTTCTCATGAATATATACGTGTATGCATAGATATTCTTTTTTCATGGATATATTATATAAATATATGTGTATAGAGTTTGGAAAATACGATAAATCCTTTGTCGCGAAATGGATACATCTTTTAATTAAGTCCGATACACCCGCTGATACTCGTTTTTCAATCATTTTTTATCCTACTTTGACTTCTCATTCCTTAAGATTGAGAAGCGGACTCAATTTGAAATTTTTCTAAGAGTAATATGACATCATAAACTTCAAATTAGAACACAATTTGATTCAAAATTCGAGGTCCAGTAAACGAGCTAATTTTAGAGTCACTCTTTATTAAATCTTTATATACGTTTCTTAATGTAAACCATCTCACTTATTTCTCGTTTTTTAAAATGAGAAACTTTCTTACTTTTTGATTGATTGTGATAGTTTTTTTTCACTTTTTTATAAAAAAAATTTTAATTGTACTTCTTGTGTACTTTCAGACATTAATTTTTTAAATTCGATCCTTGAGAATAACTGCCATATGTATCTCTTTTATAATTTAAATGGTATAGTATAAACTATGTTTTATTTCTTCTTATTAATCAAAGATATATGCGCAACAATTGTAATATTATTAAAAAAAACTTTCTTTTTTTAATTTTATTATTTTTATGTATTTAGTCTGAAGAGGACCCAAGTTGAGGGTCAAAACGTAGCTGCGGAATAAAGATTATCATTACTGGCCAGTTCGTCGGTTTTCATTCTCACCTTATTATTATCATCACTGGAGATAGTCATTATCTTGTTAAAATTTTATATTTATATATAATATAATAATTATATTTATTATATTGTTACGTCCCTGATCTTTCATCCCCTGAATATCATCCCTTGTGTCGTGGAGCTTCATCGTTAAGGGGGTTGTTTATTGACAACCGCCCGGTGGTTGTTTTCAGGCTCCATGACAGTTTTGGTCTAGCTGTCATCTCGTACGGACGTGACTTGACCAGAGAGCAATCTTCTTTCTTTCGCGTGTACATTAGTCATTGTATTTCATCATTGCATAAAGGATCATTTCTTCATAAGAGAGTGTATTTATTTCGCGAGCCGCGAGTGAGTGAGAGTGTGTGCGAGAGACGTCTTTTGCGAGAAAGAACGTCCGGAGGACGTAACAATATATTATAAACAAAGTGATAAATATAAGGCCAACTTATCGAGCTGAATATTCGAGATGTTCAGTCAACTACCATTTATTACATGTATAAATTATAAAACTACAGTCATTATATTAAAACTAACGCAAATTACAATCATTCTATAAACGTTTCGACCGCACGCGGTCTTCTTCAGTATAATTATTGAAATATAAATTCTTACAATTCACATAATATCGAAATTTAATTATAGTTATTCAGAATCAAGAGTTTTTGAGCAATTAACGCGTGTTTCAATCCGTCCTGTCCAACAATGTTCGCCTCGATATGATCTCTAATTTTGTTCAGATCTC